GCACGAGAGTCAGCAACAGTGATAGGAGTAGCAGCGGGCTTCCATCCCTGCGGGATCCTCTCGTCGATGAGAAAGGAGCGAGCGACGTCCAACGAAACGCTCTCTCCGTTTTTTGCGCCGAAGACCAGCAAGAGACCTGCCCCCTGACTGTACGACTGGGTCTTTTGCGCGTCCGAGAGGGAATATTTTGGCTCGTAAGATTTACCTGCTTGGCGGCGGTCCTTGTAGGCATTTCCCACCTCATTGACGCCCAGCTTATTGCTAATTTTCCCACGGTTGAAGAGGTCGTTGGCCAGCGAGATGTTGACCTCGGACGGGTCATGGCCGAAATGCGCGTCAGTGTGAACGAGTGACGCATCGTGATCCCAGACGTTATGCTGGGACAGGTCGCTAAGCGCGATGGTATCGGGCAAGCTCGCCAGTAGCGCAACCACGGCGTCGTCTCCCTGGTTCAAGACCGACTTGAGGGCAGATCCAATCTGGTCCTTGGTGATGCCTTGGCCGTTACGCGGTAGGTGACCGTGGTTGGCGAGCACGTTAAGTGCGGGACAGGGTGAGCGGCGGAAAGATGCCGTGGTGTTGAAGAAGCCCGAGACCACGTGTCCCGAAGGTCTGAAGAACTCTCCGACAGCGAGCTTGTTGGGGTCGAGGATCCGGCTGCTGCTCGAGCTCACAAACGAGGCGACAGCGACGGCGACGGCGACGATAGAGGCGCATGAAACCATTGCTGAAAGACTTACCTAAAAACTGGAAACTGAGAAACTGAGAGTGATCATGTTCCGATGGTGCGGCAGACGCCGCTAACACAGTGTACTGTACATGTACACTGTACAGCTGACTGTCTGCCTCAATATGTAAACTTATAATGTTTCTAATCCAGTACATAGTATGCGACGAAGCTACGTCACTTGCTTTCAGTACTCTACCACTCCATGACGAAACGCCTACTCCAAGTTAAAGACAACCGAGGGGGTCACACGAAGTACTAAAGGTGCGTGAAAGCTTCAGATAGTGTTCGTATGGCTACTACTACAACATGGAATGCAAAAGTGCTAACATCAGCTCGTAAAAGTTATAACAAAATAGACTTTTGAGATGACGCATGGCGCGTCACCGGGCTCTCCGACCTTCTATCACTACGTAACGTAGGTGCCATAAGCACAGACTTGTAGGGCAGTAGGTGTAGAGCAAGTAGGAATAGAATGTAAGACACGTGAGTGCCGGGCAAAGTACCACGACAGGACCACGGAGTTCTGGTGCTTGCTGCCTCTCACTCGTTGTGCACGCAGCACAGCAAAAGCAGTTGTGAGAGTGAGAGCTGCCAGCACCTGAACTTCCATGTTCCGCAAAGTTAGATTAGCACATACTCAGTCTAAGATAGTCGATAGAAAGCTAAGTAGTTCACCATCACCTGCAACGCAGTTGCAGTTGCTCACCGCCACCAATGTCGTCCTTCATACAGTCCTTGGTATCTTCCGTACGCCGCTCGCACGTGAGCGCGTTGCAGACCGGTACGCCGGGATGCAGTTCATGCATAGACACGCGTAGGATTGTAGGTTGGATCGGTAGTACTGGTATTGCCAGTGACGTCTGGCACTGGACACTGGCAGACCGTAGCAAGTAGCATCTCACAGTAGCAGGATAGCATTTCACAACTTTCACTTTTTTTGCCATAATTTTACTTCTTTTTTGTTTGAGTGGGCTCAACTTCTACCAGCTTCTGTCAATCTGGTCAAATGATAGTTTGTTGGAAAGCCTTCACGTCAGGCATTCATATCATGCATAGTAACCAATCTAAATACCGTTAGGGACCAAACGCCGTAGGCCAACGTGCTCAAGGAGACGTTGGACGTAGACTTTCTGTACCCACTGTACACTGTACAGCTGACTGTCTGCCTCAATATGTAAACTTATAATGTTTCTAATCCCGTACATAGTATGCGACGAAGCTACGTCACTTGCTTTTAGTACTGTTTTGCTGCACAGGTACTGTATCTATAAAATTGTAAGCATCCACTGTTCTACAGTAAATTGAGGCAGAATACTGTAAATTACAGTCGGTAATACGCTCATGTATCGCTGGTACTGTACCAGTACGTCTCTGCAAATCAAATCGTTTTTACGCTATTTATTTCCTTGGAACAAGATAATACTTATTGTAGTAATACCGGGACGCTATTAATACTGTCACACCAATCTGTTACTGTACAAGTAGCACCAAGCACTATTGTATATGAACGGCATAGAACATATTATGCAGCAATTTGCTCTCGGTCTTTACGAAATCTACATTGCAGATAGTGATGATGATGATAATATCATCGACATATTATTACAATAGGTTACCGGTACCGGTATACGCGCAGATATGATTGGATGGAAAAATAGATGTGGGACAAAATCAGTACCTATCGGTAAATTTATTCTTCGAAGTATTAATAACTGTGCGCCATTGATATGTTATCACTGCCCCGTTGTGCTCGTGTTTTTCGTTTGCTGTGGATGTTGTTTGGCTACACCAGACGCTTATCACTTCTATGCTACTTCTTGGTGAGGCTGAAGATAGTAATTTCAGGTGACCCACGGCTTCAAGACAACGTAACAAAAGTCTGACCGATTTTTAGATTAGTGTCCAAATTGCACGACGACGCTGGCAGCGTTTAAGAACTTACGCACGTGGCAGGAGATGTTTGTAATTGCGCTGGTTGCACCATCCAGAGTTTGAACACATTCTGGTACCACAGAGTGACCTCGCAACGCCCAACGCTGACATGCGCCGTTCCGTACGGTCGAAGTTTTGGCTATAACCAGTGACATCAAATACATGTACTGTACCTAATCCTTCAGATTAAGCGATTTAACAAAACCAGAACCAGACCCAGCACCACTGGTCCCCTTATTAATGGGTGGCTGGTCTTTCAAAAAGACAATAAGCTTAAAAGCAAAACGTGCACCAAAGACTATTTTTAAAGATTCTTTGGTCCTTTGTAATCGGACGTTTTGCTGAAAATGGAACGATTTGTTTGCTTGACTTTTTCCATCATTCAATGAAAGCCTCTCCCATCAATGATTCATGATCAGAGATTTGGACAAATCTCTAATCCTGCCTGAGAAATTTGCTTATCTCAGTGGTTTTCACTGTGATTTGACAATATAAAAAGGGGAAAATGACACCAGGTGAGTGGATACATGAAAGTTGTGACAGAAAGTGTAAAATGATCACGGATGAAGATGCTCATGGTGAACACAGCTTTCGTACCGACTCACTTACTGTCGCAACTTGGCATTCAGCAAATCCCGTTGTTGGTCGGTGGGAGCCAATCCCAATTGGGAGACGATACCGGTAATCACAGAGCCCCCAGTCTAATTTATCCCGGTACATGTACTGTTTTTTTCATCCCAGCAGGGTAGGCTCCTTGACGTTTAGCTCTCGCAAAGCGTCTGCTGCAGTTCATTCTGGATAAGCTTTCCACTTTTTCAGCAGCTCTATCTTCTCTCTTTCGGTCCGCTGGGTGCACGTGCGCTTGGACATCGCGCCCTTAATTCGAGATTGGCCACCGGAACCAACCGTTCAAAACGAATCAGACTCAGATAATTCAGATTAACTCGGGCGACTTAATCTGAATCGGGGAGAAAGTCAGGTTAACTCGCGCGAGTTATTCTGACTCAGGGAGAAAGTCAGGTTAACTCGCGCTAATTATTCTGAATCAGGGGGATATACTACAAACAACCACGTCGTGTAATAGGCCTGCAGATCGCTCACTGAAAACCCAACCATTTCCTGCTCAAGTACGAGCTGAGCTAGGTGATCCGGACCTGTAGCGGTGTATTCTTGTGGCTCACCAGACACTGGTATTACATGAAACCATGTTATGCTGCAGAGGTCGCAGTACTGATTATAGACACGCACGGAAAAATCGTGCTGTACAGACCTTCCATGAGATAAAGCGTAGTCTTGAACAGCATGAAGAGCATGTGAAGCAGTATTAAAAGTCATTCTAACTTGAATAGTATTTTCCTCATCGCCGCTGTCCAATCCATCAGCAATGTCGTCGATGTCCTCCGTCATTTTGCGTCCCTCAGTCGTAATAAGTGGTTTTGCGACTTAAGAGTTATGACGTATTGCGCGCTGTATAGCAAGTTGCGAGGTGAGATTAGTCAAAGAGTCCTCAAACTATCCATATCTATGAGCTCCTGCGGCAGCAGTACCTGTCCTTCATGATGCTGCTTCAGTAGCCGCGTGCCACCGGCAACGCCTGGTCGACGGCGTGTGCCGCCCGCTCACTGTCGCCAGTCGCGTTGCCGATATGTCTTGGAGGCACGCGAGAGCGAAGCACGAGCCATCAAGGCACGCGCCTCCTCTCGGTATTCGCTGAGTCTGTTCAGGCAATGTCGTCTGATACTTGGTGTGCCATACTCCACAAGAGTGTACGATTTAAGTCTTCATACGCATGACGAGCATTAGTATACAACGGGTTTTTGGGTTTAAGTCTGGCCCACCTTGTTTCAGCCATTCAATCATTTGGACACACATTGTGACCCTTGTTCCCTAAATTCCTCACTTACTGACGCGGGTTTCACTTGGTACACCTACCGGCGATACCGAGCCCACTTTGCTCACGTTTTGGCACACCTTTAACTTTCTGTCACAACTTTAGTGTATCCACTCACATTTTGTCATTTTCCCATATAAAAAGTATCTTCATTATTATTGTGATTTGACAAAATATAAAGTATCATCATTATTATTATTACTCACTGACCAGCGGCGACATCAGTGCAGTTTTCACCATCGAATCTCAGTGAAAACAACTGAAATATGGAAGTTCCTCCGTAGTTTGGAACAACGTGCCGGTAACAAAATACCTAAAATCACTTTTTTGCGTTTCAAATGCAAAAGAAAACATACTAAAGTACAGTAAGTTGTTTAAAAAACGCGAGCCCTGAAAACATCAAATAGATTTATGTATTATGAAAAAAATGTTTAAGACAGACTTTCGTCAACCCCTCCAGTCCGGCTTGCTGCATAATGCAGATTAGACCCTTTTTATATCCAGTATAATGCTGGATTAGGCCATTTTAGACTTGAAATTTGTAAACCAGTTTTTTTGCCCATCCTGTCTCATAGTTAGATCTAGTCAACCAAAAGTGACGAATTTGACCAAGAATAGAAATCCTAGCCATATGTAAAGTTGGGTTTAGCACAGGTGACATAGACTCTTTTTCAAACAAATATTTTTTAGAGTTAGACATTGAACGATAAAGGTTTTGTCGGAACGTTTCCAGCTACCAGTCATTCGGAAATTTCCGTCGCAGAGCAGAGAAGCAGAAGGGGTGATCGTGACAATCGACAAAGCTGCTCCCAAGCCTCCAGGCCTGACGTGGACAAAGGTTCGACGCAAACTCCGTAGAGAAGGATGGAAGGTGAAGAAGCCAACGAGGGGAAACCTTGAGACGCAGTTCCGCTACGTACGACCAGGGTGCAATTCGAGCGGACAGGATGATGTGGACTACTTTCTTGGCGAGGATGCAGTGTTTGACTACTACATTCATGGTATGGCTCTTGCCCTACTTTACACGGACTGTGCTTACGTATTTATATGAATGCAGAGCTCATACGGCCGACACCTGATACGCATATGCCGGATACAGCAGCGATGTAGCCAGTTTCTGGAGCGCATATGCATTCTACGCCACTTGTCGAGCGGTCGACCCCACCACCAGCCCCAGTGACGGCTCCGAGCTGTCATTTTCATCCATCGATTGACCAACTGCTCCTTATCACTATCGTGTTCCTTCACGTCATCCTTTTGTGATTCATTCCCCGACTCCATTGCGCCTAACAAAGCTCCATCCTCATCCTGATATGTAACGTTCAAATCGTCCTCATTGTCAGCCAGTATCGCGCTACCTTGAGCCTCCTCTTCCCTTACACTGACACCTACAAGTAGCGATATTTGGTTTTATTCATTTGCAGTACAACATTCAGCATAGTAAATATCATTATATGCATGTCAATATGCAGTATAGCATACCATTGTCGATGTCTTCCGCAGGCCCGTCTGCGGTGCTCTCATCGTCTGGGGCATAGCTTGCGTCGTCTTCGCGCGAGGCATCACCATCTTCATCTCCCGTGTTGTCACCGTCTGATCCAGACACGTGCGGTGAAGTATATGTCGTCTTCCGAAACGGCGTCTGGGGTTAGAGCAGACACGTGCCGTCTCTGAAGAGGCCTCACAAGCTTGTAGGCCTCCTGCTTGATCTGGTGTCGTCACTCGAGCTGGCGTTGTCACTGGAGCTGGTGTGCTAAGCAAATTGAGAGTGAAGTGTAGTTTGCTGGAGGATTGCTTCAGCGGTTTAGAGGAGCACAGCGTTATCGGTGAAAACCTACGTGCTGATGTTCTCCGGGAGATGTCAGCTTCTGGCTGGAAAGACGTCGACGAGCGGGAAACCTACGAGTCCATGCAGGATCCGTACAAATGAGTTGACAACACAGGCAGCTACGCTGGGTTGAGGCATGGATATTCTGGTCCGACCGCAGAATCGATGCGACATGTGATTCCCCACTCGCGCTATTTTGTTTCATGCCGGTCGTTCTCTGGCAGCATGTTGCTGCTTGCAGCAACCAATACAACCAAACCCAGCTGATCAAGGACTACCACGACTTCATCGGCGCCGTGGATGTCCAAGATCAGCTTCGTCCTCAACGCTACTCCCTTCAACGTGCAATTTGGTTCGAAAGTATTACAAGTCGCTAGCGTTGGGGCTTATAGACATGGTAATCGTGAATGGGTACATTGTTAATAAATCACCACAAGAACAAAAGCTCAAATCCGTTTTCGCTCGTGAACTATTTGAAGAAGCTACACTTGCAGCTAGTGCAGCTTCAAGAAGTGGACATGTACAAGGGGAACTGGTTTGGTGCCCAGTCAGAGATTCGAAACAAGATTGTTCCGCTGATGCCAAACACCAACCGCTCGACGCATACGGCTCAGCTTGTGAATGGGTGGCGTGACGAAGGCACCCAAAAAACGTGTCGCCAACGGACATGCAAGGTCTGTTCTGCTTTGCGGACCAAGCAGTCTCGTGTCGCCACAACAGTGTCATTCTGTGGAGAGTGTCGTGAAGATAGCCTCTTATTTCTGTGCATGCGGCCGCGTCGACAGATCCACGGGGTGGCAATGACATGCTGGGATATATGGCACCATGAGTGGAAGTGTGGTGCACTCATTCCTGCCGAGTCTACCCAGCAAATTCGCATGCGCAAGAAACCCATGCTGTCTTCAACTTCTACGCCTCGGAAAAAGAGACGCACTACTCCAGCTTCGACGCCAAATTAGCAGGTATTATGCAGCATAAGGTTTTAGAATTTGAAGATCAAATGCGCATAATACAGGATAGTAAACATCTTTCTCAATCAAAACCACGTAATTTCTACAAACTCATTATTGCAGGAGAATTCATTACGTAAACAGATCGCATGCGCTTACAAAATAGTACCCACGTTGTACATGATTACGAATAGATATGATCAATACCCCCTCTATATGACTCCATTTCACTAGGGGAAGTCAGCTTTCAAAAAGTTGACAAATTGAGTGTTGCCAAAGACGGGACATATACCTTTAATGTTCACAAATAAAAACGCATATGCCGATTCCAGCGACGTTTCTTATTTAAATCATGTTACATAAGCGCAGAAATATGCGTGCACCTCGCCTTGCACGACAGAACATGCCAAACACATGCATTTACGGCTTCAACACACAGCAAATCATTTGACTTGACTTCAGTATTGTTTTGACCTTCTGAGTGTCGCAATAAGACATAATCGACGATTAGAGGTCACAGCATAAAAGAGACCAGCCGCGCTTCGCTTGACTGGGCACCCCTTTGGCGCCCCCGCGGTTCGCTGCGCTCGCAATATGGAGATAGAATGTACTGGAAAGTGTAGTGCTCGGCTCGCTGGTGAGCTCAGTGTTGGGCCCGCCTCCGCAATACCGAACGGCCCAGCTTCGCGGGCTCCCCACGCGGGTTTGCTGCGGCTACGCGCCTCGCACCCGCTCACCTTAGTTGGCGCCGCGGCTATGGCAACCACGTCGCCCAGCCTCGTGTGTGTTATCTTAGCGATGAGCGTGTGTTTCTTTTATTTTCTGGCCTTGCACTACCTTCAAATCCTCTATACCACAACCCTTTATATAGTAAACACTAGATAAATAATCCAGCATATGCTGGATAATTACACATTTTTCAGCCGAGAGTCGAAGATTATTGCTTGCCTCATGTGTAATTATTAATAAGTTACACATTTTTCGTAAGTGAAAGTCACATTTCATTTTTGCGATACGTATTATCTTATTGATCGTACACAGACCGGGCGGAAATTCAGTGGCCCCGCCCGACTTCAGGATATATACGCTGTCACCGTGGCGGTGATGGAACTCCTGTGACAGGCCATTGCTACTCATCTACACGATGCATTCACCCTTCTGCTTATATACTTTGCTACGCTCTACTAAGGGAGCTCTGGACCACCACTGCTGACGCCCGCCACGACTGGCGATACAGCTCTAGCGGCAAATGCGGGCAGACCAACTACTCGCGTTGGACTACCAAGTCACGACCGCTCTTGCTTGCCCTGAAGAGCTGTGAGGTGTGACGTCAACAACACCTGCCGTCTGCAGCTCCACCGCAGTCCAGCTCGTCCAAATCCCCTGTAGCAGTGTGGCCGTGGCAGTTCTGCTCAATACCGAGGCTACTATGAGTCAAAGCAAAGCACTATCGGTGGGCATATGGAGAGATGGTTCAAATGAAGAAGAAATAGAAGAGGACATCTTCTTTTGGAATGTTGCAGCTACGGTTGCAATGAACTCTCGTAAAAGTCGTTATTACCGTCAGCGGATAATTTGGAGCTCTCCTGTTTCTACACTTCGCAGCCAAGGCACATTTCACAGGAAATATCGCGTGTGTGAGCGGACTTCGAGCAACGTCTCGCCGCATTGGGCTCAAGCCTCCACGTGGACGCGTACATGTCGATACGCACGGGAGAAGCACCACTATCATTCTTAAGTACGAAATTGTAATGTACCGCATATTCGGCTGGCTAGCTGGGAGTCTGCTACCTCGCTTTTTGGGGAGGTGATATTCGGCTGGGTAGCTGAGTCTCCCACCTCGCATTTTGAGGAGTGATATTCACCGGAACCTCTCCGCGATTCGCTGGAAGGTAACGAAAACGAGCCACAGCTTCAGAATCTCAAAAGCTAAAAAGAGCTAAACATCGGGGGATAAACGTCCACAATAATATCAGTCAAGTAAAATCGTTGAAATCGAGTAAGGATCTGTGGTAGCTCAAAACAGCAGCCACGAATAAAAAAAACAGATCTATGATCACACCTTGTGATATCTATGATTTACTAACAGGATCCGTGACCTCATCAAACCATATCCATGAATTACATATAGGATCAGTGTGATTGTCAGCCAACATCCATGAATTAAAAAAATGATCCTTGAAATCTGAGCGATTTATGAACGAATGCCAGATATTTATGACCACGCCGAGCGTATCCAGGTAAGTAAAGATTAGAGATTCTGGCATGGGATATCATTGACGCCGGCACGACCAGCATTTTCGTGCCCGAGTGCAGCGCCGCCATCACGGTGGACTGCACCGATCCATGCTTTTCAATGGCGGCGGCAGTCACGGTCTGCTGATAGGCGCGATGGAGGTGCTCCGGGGCGCTACCCTGGATAACCTCCACAATGCCACACTGCTTGTCGGCAGATGCATTTTCGACGAAACGTCTACGAGACGCTCGTAAATAAGGCGAAGAGTAGCTGGATTGGCGTTAATATTATCACGCATATTTAGGAAGGCCTGTCTGCGCTTCTCGTTTTCGGTAGACCGAAACCACTTGTTCTCAGGTAGATCAGCAACGTCGTGGAGGGACATGTCGACTTCATCTTCACTTTAAAGCAGCGTAGGACGCGGTAGCCACGGTTCCACAGGTTACTGAGCATAGCGATCTTGGCAGGGGCTCTCATGAGGGAAGGACTTGAATTCAGTTGTGAGATCTGGCCGGCAGCTCATGGATGGCTGTCGGCGATGAAAACTAATTTAGTGTGACCAACATTGAAGGATAGGCATTCGCAAGGTGTTGATTTCGCCAAACCTCGTCCTTAGCCATTTGATTTTTGGCTACAGTACACTTTATTTACTATACCTTCCGGCGAATAGAGGAGAGGTTCCGGTGAATATCACCTCTTGCATTTTTGCAATGCTGGACACATCAGCTCTACTCTCCCTACCGATATATGTACAAAGAAGTTCATGCTATCATCAAGGAAATGTATCTATGATGGGTACTAGGCGTGAATGATCTTCATGCAAAATCGGGCAACGAGAGTCCCGTCGAGACCAAACTACTCGAACAGCTGCTCTATTAATAAGCTCTTTGCTGTTGGTCGTAGTGCTCTGATTCCAAATAGCCTTAACCACTGATATTTTTATTAAGAGAGAGTTTCGCACAACCTGACCCCCCCCAAATCACCCAAACTACAGCTCGTTAAGAGCGGCTAGCGGGGTACGTAGCTCCAAGTGTACCCCTAGTTACATGAAGTGTGACACGTCACACTTCGGGATATATGGTGCATGGTACCAGGGTCGTCCGAGGCCAACCATTGGCTGATAACATAGCTTTATCATAGTTGACTTATAGTTTGTATATTTAACTCAACCTTAGCCTACTATAAATATATTCAGCTTACATGTACAACTTACCTTAAATTGGTCACTTTGCTCCCTTAGACAAAAGGGACCTGTGAACTACTGTTCACTGAGAGTTTGTAAGCTCTCGGATCCAACTTCCTCTAGCGCAAGGTGCTGTGTGACCCCGTCACATACTCGGGCTTACTGGATCGCGACGGATATTTTGCCATGGTTGAATGTCTTGGTGGTAATGTACACCGACGTCGACTGTGCTAGTGATTCAGTGGATTGACTAACGGTGTAAAGCCACATTAGATTGCTTGATTGGGACGTGATAGCCTACGCATCACGCAAACAAGGTGTTGATCCACAATCAGTTACCGAAACTGAATATGTCGCAGCGTGTGAAGGAAGCAAATATTTTTTTGGCTAGTGTGATGAAGTGCTTTCTGAGAAAAAGAAGATGGGATGCCACTATTCCAGATCAGTGACAATACATGTGGATATGGGATTTCGCGCGTGGGGCTGCATAGTGAGAAGTGAATTAGAGTTGGAGCCGTCGTAATGAAGCTCTAAATAGCAAGATCGCGTGGAGCAAAACTGCAGATTACCGATCCAGATGCGGAATACCTGGCTTCAGATCCCATTGGTGCATCCCTAAATGGGGAGCCAAGTATAAAGGATCGGGAGTTTAGAAGGACCGGATCACGAGTAGTATGGTTTGTGGTACACGCGTAGTCGCAGCGATACGGACGAAGTGAGCGGCGTCTCGACCCGTGCCCCGGGCTGCTGGATCCTACACCTAGCCAAGAGTTAGGATCCAAAAATGGGATCAAGGCCGATGTCCCCACAACGTCGATGGCCTGTATTGTAACGGGATGGGAATCGGGGATAATGGTCTCTATGAACATGATGAACGGTGGATGAGCATGGTGAATGGCAATAGATCCAAGATCCACATTCGACCAAGTGAATCTATGGAGAATGATTAGGTTCTAGCATGTATGGATCGATCGAGTGGGGACACAGAGGAAAGACGGGCTATCATTACTACCTGAGGTGTATCCAGCGTAATTGACTGATAAGAAGACAAGATCCACCACTATGAGCTCAGATCCCACTACCCCGTGCCCAGATCCAAAAGATCAAGGATCTTATACTGGGGTCTTAGCAATAAGGGCGGAATACCTATGGGTCTCGAACACTCGTGGAGCAATGGAGACTTGAAGTAGTGTTGGAGTGTGAAAAGGCCGAAACTACCAGGATCTAGTAACAACATACATACGCGGCAGCGTCCATTACCGTCGCCGTGATCCCGGAAGTGGACCCATAATCTGACAGCCCTACAAGGATTACGCCACGGATCCTGGGGTCTGGTACTGATGCAGCTGAGGAAATGGATCGAGTAGAGAAAGGACAAGCGGTCGAGCCTGGTGACTAATGGACAGAGAGGGTAGATATCCAGGCTGGTATAGGTTAAAAACGAATCAAAATTATGATTGCGTTGTGTTACACAAAAGCCGCCTGTCCTCAAGAATCGGAACTATATTGGCCGTTCGGTGAAGGTTGGTAATAGCCAAACTAGCGCCGCTACTGATAACCGGGTAATATACTGACCATATCCTACCACTTAGTGAGCCTTCAGTTGCACGTGTAGATCCATACGGTTAACCAAGTTTATCACTGGGCCGAGTATATCTATTGATTCTCAACTATTAAGATCGCGCTATAAAACGGGCAAGTACGAAGTTGAGGGAAGGGAACACACTCGAGGCAACCCTACGGACAGGTCTCGGATCTAAGCCCCGGATCCACCAAGCTCGATAACTCGCTTGGGATCCGGAAATACCATTGGACGCAGAGTGAAAATTTTACCACTACTGCTCCACCCCAACCCCACGTCTCGCCAATACACTCAAATTTTACCACTTGATCCCTTCAGACTGTAGCAAGAAAGACAACCCCCGTCCTACTGACAGGTACACATGGTGAGGAAAGCTCAGCAGAACACGAATCTTCGAGAGCGTTACTCGGTGTCTATGCCCTGTTGGTAAGTTGGATCCAGCACTCTCGCAGCTTTTGCTAATCCCGTTATGCCACACTATTTGGACTGTGTGCTGAGCTTTGGTGCAAAACTGAAAGCATGTATTGCTGAAACAAATGAAGCATCTATCTATCAGTGAATCCGGGGAAACATCCAAAGATCGGATCATTTCGAGATTCGATTTCACCTTGGATAGCACTGTCTGGAAGAAAATCGTCTCTTGACGCGCCACATCGGAGCGGCTATCATGATTACCGACTGTATGACAAAGCGATGCAAAATATGTGTAATTCCGCTAGGCTATGATAGTGTTGAAGCTTGCAAGGAGATTCGGCTGCTAACTGAGAGTGAAATGAGCCCTTCTACTACTTCGTTGCTGAAACTGCCTAATGCTGATCAGCTTTGGTCTGATTGTAGTGCTACTATGCCGGTCTGAACTACATGGAGAGATGATGGCTGGCAGGCACAAAAAATTTGAGAAAGCGCGGCGGCGGCAGTCTTCGCTGACTCGCCCTCGCACTCTCCTGGGGATTCTCAACGACATGTGGGTTAGGCTCCGTGACAGTCCGCTTTCTCTAATCTATTGTCTTGCTGGAGAAATAACTTGTGGTCAGCTGCTCTAGTACTTACTATTAGTACGCATATTTGGTCGTGCGACCATTCCGATGAGATAAAAAAAATTACATTATGTAAATGCTGGTTGTATCTCACTGTACCTTGCTGAAATGGCACATGTCGACGAGAAAAAGCGGGGAGAGTGACGTGTATACGAAAGCCTCAGACTCATCACGAAGTTACAGCAGGCTCGTGTTGGTGCCCGTGCCGCTGGTGGCTGGCTGGGAATCACCACAACCAAGATCACTGTGCTTAACTATATCTTACTTTGCCTGCATTGTTTAATACGCTGTGCTTGGTGCATATTTTTACATTCAGCAAAAGCTCCAGACAGGCTGCTATGGCGGTGCCCTTATTTCCAGCACCAACATTGCTGCCTTTCTGGCTCTTTGCTCGGCAATCTCGTGTTACCTTTCCGTTCACTAAGTTTACGCAGTGCCCATCTTGTGAAGCGTTGTCCCTAACGGCTCTGCTGCCTTTGACAATTCCACTAGGTTGTGATGCAGTATGCTCTGCAAGTTGAAGCAGCACTCGCATTAAAACAGCCTCCCACAGAAGAGACTTAGCAAGTGTCCCGTGTGGGTAGGTCACTGAAGTTTCTCACGTTGTATTTATATTTTGCTAGCTCAGTCTCCTTTTAGCAGGAGAATAACGCGTTATTGACGAGAGCTGAAGCTTAAGTAGTTAATAGGATGCCTGTGCGTGCATAACATCGGATTCGTAGCTTACGTTTACAAGCATCTGTGAGCGAGAAACAGAGTTATGAGCCCAAACGGTTGGTAAGGCCAGTTGTGAGCACCCTAAAGATCCAATATGTTAAGCACGGTTGAGCTCAATACTAACGGTCGCCCTACCGGTAGCATGGCCAATGCTGGTGTACTACAACCAAATAATGGAGATCGCGCTCGCGGACATGGACGTTCTCGAGTACGCGAGTGGAGCCAAGACGCTGGCCACCAGCGCGACGGACGAGGAGAAGTCAAAGCTCAAGGAGGGCCAAGTCAAGGTGAACCAGATCATTATGTCCTCGCTGTCTATGGAAAGGTCACGGTGCAAAAGACCGGTATAGAAATGCGGAAGTTCCTGGTGGATACGTATGAGGGTACAGCGAACGCTGTAACCCGTACGAACCAGGAGATCATCATGTACCATAAACTTCAAGCTGCTAGATGTAAGCCGAACTAGGATGTACGTTTACATGCTAACAACATGTTTCTGATGGAGAAGCATTGTTGCTGCTAGATGTAAGCCGAACTAGGATGTACGTTTACATGCTAACAACATGTTTCTGATGGAGGAGCATTGTTGCTGCTATCAACGCTGGCGCTAGAGATCCGATCTTCACGGCCTTTGTCGGCAAATCCACGGCTTGTTTGCCTGAGCGGAATGGTCGAGATCGGAACCAATGAGGTGAACACTCCTGATAAGCTCAAGGACCAGATCCTGCGGATGGACAGCTACAATAAGTGTGATAAAGAACTTGGAGTTGCTGGTGACAATGGCGCGCATAACCAAGGGCATGGACAATGTCAGCGAGCAGGACAAAATCAGAAGCAGCATCCTGGCAACAGTACGACGCCTGAGTCACCGGATAAGGCGGCCGCTATCGCGACCAAGAAGCTGGATCAGCAGCAGGGCAACTACTTCAGGTACCACCAACCAGGTCATCAGCAGAAGGGTTTCCTGCAGAAGTTGCTGGCGTCTACAAATACGCCAAAGGCCAAGCAAGCCACGTAAACCAAGCGTCTCGAGAAAGGCGAGAAATCCAACCCGTCGGTGGTTCCTGTCGCGCCAGTACAAGCTTCGCCAGTTTCGGCTCCGTACACTTCTGTGGTGCATGTTCCTGCCACGACGTCTGCCTTAGACACAACGACTCACACTGACTACAGACGGCATAGTAATAGTCCAAGCGGCAGTGATCAATGTGATCTCAATGGTGAGGAATATCGGCAAACGTCCACGTGGCATCGGACCAGCGCTACTTTACGGGGCACAAGCCGTTCTTGGACCAGGAAGCAGACAGAGTACGCGCATTACAGAACAAGTTTGCGGCTCTCCGCCTGGCCATGGAACCATGAAGGACGTGGTGGACAACGGTAAATCTGATGTGAATTTTACTCTTCGCGATGTATTTTTGGTGCCGGATAGCAAGAATCTTCTGTTACACTCGAAGACTGCGGACCAAGGCTACGATATTGAGTATCATAGGCGAACGGGCAAGAAAGTGTACGAGATTTGGAATAAGGATGAAGCATATAGAAGTGAGTCGCGACCCATTTGGACCGTACCCATTTTCTCCTCGGAACTCATTTTTTCGGAGAATAGCAGAGGGAGCCAGAAGGTGGAGGAGCAGACTTCCTCTTACTGGCAGCCGATATGTGTAAGCATCACGGATGCGGATGGCGCAGCAGAGCAGCAAAGATGGCACGAGCGGCTGGGCCATCGGTGCTGCCAGTTTGTCAAGATGATGGTCGACCATGAGCTTGCTACTGGTATGATGCTGCAACAGCGTAGCTTCACGGACTGCGAAGCATGCCACTTAGGGAAGCAGAGAAAACCTTCGCCCAAGCAGATGCTGGAACGTGAGATCAAGCGGAAGAACAAGGTTATCGTTGCAGACCTATTATTTCCTCACCAGATCTCCAGTGCCAATCTTCCCAAGGCCGTATTAGTTATAGTAGATGGTTACGCTCGCTGCACTACGGTCGCTAAAGTCAAAAACGGCCTTTGGTGCGAACATGGCCATGCGGCCCTATATCGCTTGGGCTGAGCGCCAGTTCAGCGAATACAAGGTGGTGAAAGTTATCACGGACAGTGGCAAAGCATTCGTCAACGAGGAAATGAATCAGTGGTACCAGCAACAAGGGATAACGTTTCCGCCAAACCCTCCTCATGGTTCGCATCGGAGTCTTACCAAACGAGCAGATCAGACAATGACGGACATGCTGAAGACCATGCTCACCATGGCAGACTTGCCGAAGCCTCACTTTTGGATG